TATAAAAGTTTAAATGTGCATGTGCATATGTATCTCCATTATTATCTTCAAATTTATTATTTTTCAAAACCTACTTATAGGAATTTTTAATATTAACTATAATAACTAAACTAAAATAAATGTTTTTAAATTATATTGTCGACTTAGCACTTATCGCGTTTGTTCTCATTGCAGACCGTATTACAGGAATAAGTTGCCTCGAGTTTGCCACAAAGTATTTTAAGTGAGATTGTGCCGACATATAGGACTTTTCTTACAATCTACTTTGCAATAAGTGATATGATTACATCAGATATGAAATTCATGTTTCTTGCATTTTTAATTATTATGACGTTCTCAGAAGAGTCAGAAGGAAGATTGCAGAACATATCGTCGTTTCTTCAAAACGAATTCTTAAATTTGTTCTTTCCTAAGGACCCTGGTTTAGTGAGAGTAAGAAGAATGGATCGAGTCGAAGAAATGATGAGTGGAAAAATATTGGATTTTGTAAGTAAAAATTCTTTTCAGTTTTAGTCTTGAATTTACATGTATTTTGTAGTAAATTAAATTTATCTTTGTAGTTCTATGATAAATATAGATTAAATTATATCATATACAATTTCGTCGTCTTAAATTGTTAAGCCAAAAGTGTCTAAACGTTGTGTAAATATTTTTTGACTTTTAAAATTAATCGAAATCGAAATAGAGATAAAACGATGATATCTCGCTGATGTTACATATTATATGCTATTCTTTTTTACATAGATTGGCTTGATAGAACGATATAATTATCCCGCTGAGGAGCACTACGTCACAACGGAGGATGGTTACAATTTGAAAATACACAGGATACCTGGAAGTCCATTATCGGATAATAAGAAAAAGAAGGAAATTATATTTATGCAACACGGTCTTTTGGCTTCATCTGATTCCTGGGTAATGTACGGTCCTGGTAAAGATCTTGGTACGTATATTTACTGATAACATGTAGTTGTTAATGTAACGTGCGAATCAATTCAAAGCATCGTTTAAAATTTCACCATATAGCGTTTTTGGAAAAACGCGGAAAAAAGATTTTACCTTAAAATCTTATAACTTGAAAATTATTAATGCTGTAACATTTTTGCAAGTGTGCTATTTTAAAATATAGTCAAAAAGCCTTTTTTATATAAAAATGTCAAGACAATACTATTTAATATTTTAAAATTTGAAGTATAGGTTCCAATGGAAAATCTGTACGAATAAACCGGGCTAACTAAGAACCAGCGCAGTAAATGATGCGAGAAAGTTTTATTTATATTTTTATTTTACATATTTTCCAACCTTTGACTGCGTGCCGACTAGATTTGTCAGACTTGAAACACAGCTCCGGTTGGAGTAGTAAAATCCCCCCCCCTTCACCTAATTAAATAAATCAATTCGATTTAATTTTTGATGCTATATATATGCATCTAAATAATTGTAAAGAAATCATTGCAAAAAATATTAATATTTTAATATCAAGCTATTGGAAATAAAGAGTTTTTTCATGATATAGATGTCAAAGAAGATTACAAAGACATAATAGAACATTAGTTATTCTCTAATTTGAAGTGAAATTAAATAAAATTTGAAGCTTAATCAAATTATTAAAGTTTTGAAAATTGCAAAATATAATGTTTTTGAAAAACTGATTTTAAATTTTAGAAAAGAAAACACATTTTCATATACATTTCATCGATTTTGTACATCGTACTAATAGTCAATTAGCTTATTATTATCTTATGTTGCAGCATTTTTATTGACAGATCAAGGATATGACGTATGGATTGGAAATGTAAGAGGAAATAGTTACTGCAGATCGCATGTAAATATGACGACATACGATCCCAAATTCTGGCAATATAGGTAAAATACTTGTATTAAAAATTATTTTGAGCGAACATCAGATTTCAAGCTTATAAATTTTAAATCAAAAGTACGACCTGCCTAAAAATGAGATATTTATGAAGCAAAATGATAAAATAATCGTTACTTGTACTGAATAGAGTATACTTACCAAGTGATATAAATATAAAGTCAGGAATTTCTAAAAGAGTATATGCAATAAAGACGTAAAGCATGTGTGAAAATGAACAAAAGGAAACTTATAACACGTTTTATAAACGTTAAAGTTTGCACAGTATTCTCTTAATTCTCAAGATTGTAAGTCTTTTATTTCTTACTCGTTTTCTCACTGTAAATTGATTGCGTACATTTATCAAATAGAGAAGAGGGCGAGAAAATGTTTTGTAAAATAATATCATAATTCTTACTCTTTTCAGCTTTTACGAGATTGGAACAAAAGATCTGCCGGCCATGTTCGATTACATTCTCAATTATACAAAGCAAAAAGATTTATATTATATCGGTCATTCAATGGGAGGTACTACGCTGCTCACTCTTCTGTCAACAAAACCAGAATATAATATAAAAATAAAAATGGCTATTAGTCTGGCTCCTGCTTGTTTTTGGATAAAAGTGACACCTATAATTAACGAAATTGCTAACATTTATCCAATATTGATGGTAACTGCTATAATCTGCGACCCCTTATTGCAAGCAATATAGTGTTTAAAATACAATGAATCATAATTTTTATTATTTAATGTGCATGCTAAAAATACTAATACTTGATTTGTTTGTTTTACACGTGCCAGGAAGTTCTACGAGAGCGTGAAATATACGATTTTTTCCCACAATCTTTAGCGACTGTTACAGTAGGAAGAATGTTATGTAAAGATAATACGATGACTCAAATTATTTGCGTCACTGCATTATTTTTAATCGTCGGTTCTGATCCAGCACAACTTAACACTGTAAGTTTTATCATACATAAGACACACAACCCGGGAAAAAAAGATTATATATGTATAGTTATATATAATGCAATTAAATATATGAATTTTGTCTCTATATGATCATACATATAATCATATAATCACATATAATCATATATAATCATGTATAATCATATATGACCATAAAATATAGTCAATATATATATTCAAAAAGAAAGAGTTCTGTTAACTTCGATTATAAGAATAAAGATTTATTTGATTGATAAAATAAGTGTAAGGGAGACCGGGGCTAGACCGCTATTTTTTTTGGTGCCGATTTTTAACAACAAAATAAATGATTGTAGTTAAATGTGATATACCACTGTAAAGAGTGAACCTTTAGCTACAAAATTTATACAGAAAATTTTTATCTACGTCGCTTTGTTTAACCGATATAGAGCAAAAACGACAACGGTGCAAAAATTGAAATCTCAAAAATGCCGGGGTTGAACCGTTACCCCCCGGGGTAAATCCGTTACACTGCATTTTCAATACATATACGTACATCTAATCCTGAAAAATGATAGGATACATTTTAATAATTGTTTTTTAAAAGAAAAATAAAAATTTATTTCAAATTTTTATGCAAAACATTAAAAAATAATTGTTTTACCTACTCCATAAAACAATTTAGGCACGTGAATACAGATCCTGACGAGTGCACGACGACGATGACGACGGCCACGACCACCACCACCACCATCACCACCACCACCACCATCACCACCACGACGACGACGATGACGGCCACGACCAACACCACGACGACGACGACGACGACGACGACGACGACGACGACGACGACGACGATCTACCGCGGCCGGGACGATCTACCATGCACGCGCGTGGCATGTCAACTCTCGCGCAGAAATCGCGGAATCTCAGAGTCGTGCTGTGCCTCGCCGTCGTGCCGTGAGCGCGAGCGATCTCGAAAACAACGGTCCGCCATCTTTTTGGTCGGCCAAAACACCCGTTTTGCGACGATACGTACGTACCATTTCCCTCCTATACAAACTGACGCATGTGCAAGGGAAAACAGAATCACGCCGCTCGAGGGAAACCTAACCTGAAATCGCCGTGAGCTGAAGTCGTGCGCCCGGCGCGCCACAGTGACAAGACTAGCCCCGGGTGTTCACTAGCGGATAAGCCCCAAACATAAGTTTCAGGTTTGATCGCCCACGAAATATTAGACATTAACGATAATGAAAAAACTACACTGGATTCGTGTTCAGCATGCATTACTCTTTATAATCACGTACCTCAAGATTTGGCGAGTAAATATTATTGCAGATATTACAATATTTCCACGCGCAGAAAATTTCACTTTTACCTTCCGAAAACACGTATGCCCTCGTAATAATCATAACACGGCAGATAACCTGCCGAAACTCCGTTGGTCACATGGGTACCATAAGCAGCATTTACAATGTTAATAGCGAGTTCGCACAATATACAGGTTCCGAGATATTTGATTTTGCAGATTTACCCCGTTAGCGGTCTAACCCCGGTCTCCCCTATATTTTTTCAAAAGCTAGAATCAAAAGTGAATTGATTTACATGATATTTATATATAACTTGACGCTGCTTGGCGTACTTCTGTGTCTTGATACCCTTCTTATACCACTGTTTGTCAAATTTTAAATACGAGAAACAAATCCCATCGGATGCCATCATCGGATAATCCGAATTTAAAGTTTATATATGGTTATATATAATCATATATAATCTACATGGATAAATTCTTATATATAATTTATATATAAGTTTATGTATAAATTATAAGAACTCATATATAATCATGTCAAATTGTATATAAAACATTATATATATATATTTAAATATATTTTAATCGCCTGTATAATATTATATCCCAGATAGCAGAGTAACGTCAAATAACGTGTTAATAACGTCTTATAATGACATCCTCTAACGTCAATAAGACGTCTTTAGACGTCATCTTGCTACTTGGGATATAATCATGTAGGATTATATGTACTTCCATATAAATCTTACATTTATCCATACCACAGTATAAGTATAAAAACATCCATTGTTCTTCGTGGCAAACGTTCGCCATGATGTTGATTGCCTGATCGTGTTTTATTTGAACCGCTTACTAGAAACCGCTTGATAATTATATAAGAAGTGAAAAAAAATATAAGAAATATATTAATTAAATATTCGAAGCAAAAATGTTACAACACACGTACATAAGTAAAAAATACATGCGCGGTTTATTTGAATAATAGAAACCGCTTGATAATTATATAAGAAATGAAAAAAATATAAGAAATATTATATTAATTAAATATTTGAAGCAAAAATGTCCCGACACATTTTATTCATATTTTAAGTAAATAATACACATTTTTTACATTGTAAGTAAAAAATACACAATTTATTTACATTGGAAGTAAAATATAAATTTTAAAATGCATTATATAATATATAATTAGTATTAACAATACATAATTTTAGAAATAGAATGGTTTGTTCCGCCAACAATAATCAACAAGAAACGTTTATTAGTTTCGACTTCTAATGGCAATATAAATTGAAACGTTGCTACGTTTCGACCCCTCGGATCGGGTCCTTATCAAGCAATCTGGTAACTATTCCTTGTCACAAACTTAAACGTCGGCATTCTCGAAAATTTTGCCCGAAATAATCAACTGATCGCTGGAAACAATGGTCAGTGAGCAATGTAAAAAAGTATGCAGTTAAATGCGAGCAGAAAATAACTCACACGTGTAAGTCGGTGACAGTGGAGAACGCATTAAAAATATAAACGAGTGACCACTGCGATGAAGCGTTGTCAGTATTGAAATTTTCTACGGAGCAGAACATTATCGTGGAGCGACGACCAACGCGTGTTAACATGTCGTAGTTGAGAGGTATACATAATTTTATTATGTTTCCTTTGTTTTTTAAACTCGGTTAATAAATTTCAAAGTATAAAATATACGAACTCTAAAATATAAAGTTTAACTAAATAATTTCTCGGAAAATTTGAACATGAATGGGAAAACTCTATTTTTGAAAGAATATTTATAAAAGTTTGCACTACGTTAGGTTGTTTAATAATAGAGAAATTTTCAAAAAATTTTGTATGCAATTCTTTAATATAACGTTTAAATATAGAACTTGGAATAAGCAAACGACCAAACGTATTTTCTGTATTATTATATGCTCTGAAGTAACTATATAATTTTAAGGTATTTACATCACTATTTTTTTCTAAAAGTAATTTACATGTTTTACATGTATGCTTTACGAAACAACGTTTTAATAAATATCCACAAATATAAGTAAATGCATTTTTATTTTTTTTTCTTTATAACTCATAATTTTATTTAAAAAAAATTTTTTTTAAGTAAATACAAATACAATTCAACTAACGCGCCGATGTATCTAACCCAAATGAACTGTCAGATGATAGCCGCCATGTTATTGATTGCCAAAGTCGCCATATTAATTTACCAACTTCTTAGGGGAGTGAACCTACTGTTCTTACTTATACTGTGTCCATACTAGGGCTGTTATTTTTGACAACTTCAAAACTCCGAAGCTTCGAAACAATTCGAAGCTTTGAAGTTGACTTCGAACTTTCGAAGCTTCGAATATCGAATTCTTCGAAGCAAATTACCAGCCCTAATTTGGATACCCGTATCGACGCGAGTATAACAGCGTATGCTATAGATATCTGTATATTACACGGAGACGCGTGTATGCAGAGTAATAAAACATAAATTCTCGCACGCTTCAAAAATGGATAAAGTATATATGAAAAAATGCTTTTATTAACTTTCCATTTTTTCGCTACCTTCTTAGTGCATACATGGGTCTATCATGTTTAACACTATTTTCCCTACCTTAAGGGGTCTGCCACCATGACCGTCTCCAAAACAAGCATAGGTCGTAATACTTAAGGAGAGCTCCCTCCTCACCGATTTCGCAGAATTTAGGCTTAATCGACGCGTTTTTGCACAAAACGAACGAATCTGGCAGAAAAAAGTCCCGCTCTGCCCCGCGAAGCGAGATATTAACTGTTAAAGTTGACGACTATCAGCTAGATTATGAAATCTATATAGCTATCATACCGACGAATCATATTACTGTGTTTCGTTAATCTCAACGCTTAATATCTGTAACAGAAATAATTTGTTAAAGCAGAGAACAGTTGATATATGAAAAATACATATTTATGTGTATTTTTTATATATATACTAATTATTCTCTGCTTTAATAATTTTATTTCTGTTTCGTTAACTTTAACGCTTAATAGCCGCGTATACAGTTATCACGTGTATTTTAAGGAAATGTTAGATCTCAACTTTAATCCAATTAATAAATAATAAAATTTAATATATGGTTTTCAAGTTTGTGGTTTTGGTTACAACAGAGAATATTTTGGAACACAAATTATTTCTGTTACAGATATTAAGCGTTGAAGTTAACGAAACAGAAATAAAATTGTTAAAGCAGATAATAGTTGGTATATGAAAAGTACATATTTATATGAAAAGTACATATTTATATGTACTTTTCATATACCAACCATTCTCTGCTTTAATAATAAATTATTTCTGTTACAGATAGCGTTTAAGTTAACAAAACATAAATAATTTGTTAAAACAGAGAATAGTTGGTATATGAAAAGTACACATAAATATGTACTTTTCATATATCAACTATTCTCTGCTTTAACAAATTATTTCTGTTACAGATATTAAGTTAAGATTAACGAAACACAGTAATATGATTCGTTGGTATGACAGCTAGGTTTTATAACCTGATAGTTGTCAACTTTAACAGTTAATATCTCGCTTCGTGGGGCAGAGCGGGACTTTTTTCTGCCAGATTCGTTCGTTTTGTGCAAAAACGCGTCAATTAAGCCTAAATTCAGCGAAATCGGTAAGGAAGGAGCTCTCCTTAAGTATTACCCAAGCATAAAATCTAGATTTTTTTCTCCGCAACTATTGCGTAAAATTAATTTACATTTGAGAGGTCTATTCTACATAATTTTAAGTATAAGTCATAAAAATTTCATTCGATTTTATTAATAATTGTGACCAGTACAGTAATTCTTGTGAAGCGGCGCTGCCTCTGCACGGACGGGCGACATTTTCACGCCCACATAGATAGTTTGAAACCATTAAATAAAGAATTTTCTTGTAAATAAAGAAAATAGCTAAAACCTAGCATAACGTTTTCAATTTTCTCGAAAATTGTGGAAATGCGCTCGATTCTAAAATCAAACATCGGTTTTTGCCTCTAAATAACAAATTAAAAAAAAATGTTATTAAAAAACGGTGCAACATATCCAAAAAGTCCTATGCTAGGTCGGAGAAAATCTATTTAGACATATTCCTGCCAAATTTCAAGTCAATCGGACCATTAGTTTCGGCTGTACAACGTCGCCCGACTTGAAAAATGTAGTTTCAAGAAAAACACAAAAGAAAAAAGACTCAAGTTTCTTATGTGATAAAATTGCATTTTTTAGCTCATTGGCCTTAGCTCAAAATGTTCTTAAGAAACTTTCAAACTTAAAGAAAATTAAAAAAAAAAAAAAAATCGAAAAAATATAGTTGCATGGTAGCATGACCCCTTAAAGTATTTTAAAAAATCTGAAAAAATTCACAAAACATCTGTTTACATTGTAGTTGACGATTTTAGTCTTTTGATGAACATAGTTTATTTAATATTTTATCTTTAATGAACTTTGAATAAAATTAGCAAAATTATTACTTAGAAAAAAGATGACATCTAGTGTATACGTGGGTCTGAGACGTCCGTGCGAGATTTGACTTGCTCGGTAAGCGGAGATATATTAATCTTTCGTAACAGTTCTGGGTACCTCTTGAGTTCCTTCTCCCGCACTTACTTCTTTAAGAAGGGGAGCTAGACAGGCAGGCTTGTCAGTTTTACAGTTACAAGCCGATATTATTTTGGCTCGGTGTCCGAAAGATCAATATATATCGCCGAATACCGAGCAAGTATTGGGATCTGACATGGAGGCGGGGCTTAACTAAATATGGCGCAAAACGGCTAACACTTTCCCATATAAAGGGTCACTTTTTTAATTTTTAATGCATTTTTCCAGACTTTATTAAAACGATCAATTTTCTCTAAATTGCCAAATAAATGTTTGACGTGTATAAAGCACTAATTTTGGGGCTAGAAAAGCAATAAAATCGAACATTTAAAGTTTTTGGAGCCTTATTTTCACAACCGAACTGAATAATTAATTCTGCTCATAGATTTTTAACGCGGAGAATAAAATTTAACATCCATAATAATACAAATACAACGCAAAGCTGGTACGACTGCACGCCAATACAATGCCACGAGATGTGAGCCCTCAATGTTTTCACTTTCGACCATCAGATGTCATGGCGACGAATGTCAGATCACAATACGCGTCTCCGTGTAATATACAGAATCTGTAGCATTGTAGCATACGCTGTTATATGCGCGTCAATACAGGTACCCGTATTCACGCGAGTATAGCGGGTATCCGTATTGACACGGGTAGCTGGTACCCGCATCGATACGGATACCCACATCGTACGGGTACTCGAATTATCTAGGCACTCGTGGAACCGATCCAGATCCGTATACACGGGTTACGGACGAACGGGCGGGTACTCGGGCACCTGTGGGTATCCGTTTCTTTTTCCGAGCTCTAGTTATAATACTTCAAAATTGTAATTTAGGAATAATTATATATTTTTTAAGCACATATATTAATTAATTCTTTTTATTTAGAATATTTTTAGCGTTCTCTAAATGAATTCGCCATTCACACAAATATATTTTTTGAAACTTTGAAGCTTCGAATATCGAAACTTTCGAAGCAAATCACCAGCTCTAATCTATACATGAGTGCATATATGATCTAGTGTTCATATCTAGTTATATTTAGCATTATTTTGTCTATGGCATATATAATGATATATGGACCCATATATAATTTTATATAAAGTACCAAATTTCATATATAATTACATATAATCATATATATATATGTTTATAATTATACATAATCTTTTTTTTCCCGGGAAAAGTCAAACGTAATACGATGTTTATAATGTGTGTAAATACTTATATTTTATGATTTTTCTAATTTTTTATAATGAAATAAACTTACTGTGACGGTTCTAGCCACTCCCTAATCTCCTTTTCTAGTTTCAGTCGCTTTATGCCTTTTTATTTATATAAATTATTTCTGTTATAGACAATCCTGCCAGATTTATTCTCCTATCTTCCAGCTGGTACTTCTACACAAACATTAGAGCATTTTTACCAAAATATACGTATAAGTGAGTATTCCCTTTTTTCTAAAACAGAATATAAAACCTTATTATATATACATGTTACAGTTAAAACCCGAAATCCGTCAAAACCCGAATTTACTGGTAAATTCTAATTTTAACTAAGCCCTTTCGGTAATTCGCGTTCTAACTGAAAGAATTTAGTTAAAACTAGAATTGACCGAATGCTTTAGTACATTCGCGTTTTAACTAAAATAATTCAGTTAAAATTAGAATTAACTGACCGCTTTAGTAAATTCGCGTTTTAACTAAAATAATTTAGTTAAAACTAGAATTGACTGATTGCTTTTAGTGAATTCGCGTTCTAACGTGTCGCCGGCGCGCTTGTCAATTGTCTAATACGTGTAGTCGTGCAAGTCAGTACTTTTGTAGACGGTGCTGATCGTCCACAACGCGATGTGTGCATTTGAGAAACGTCCACGACGCGTTCTGTATAAAATGTATGTACTTTAAGTTATAAAGCGAGGTCCACGTTGCCTACCGGCGGAGGTGGGTACGGGAGGGGGGCCGAAGGCTCTCCCTTGCACCCCCGCGCGCGCGCGCGCGTGTGTGAGGTAATTCAAACCTTCAATTTGAAGTATCAATCATAAAATTATAAACAATTTAATTTTTTAAATATATTTTTATTTAAAAAATGAAGCAACTAGGGGTATAGTCGTTTGTTTACTCAAAAAATCATAACTTTAAGACAAATGAAGATATCAAAACAAATAAAAAAAAAATTGAAGGGGAAAAGTGTAGCTCTCATAAAAAAAATATTGCATGCAATTATTTTGAAATTAAATGCTGTTTGCGACCTTAAAATTGCCAATAAATTAGCCCCAAATTTCGTAGTAAAAACAGTAATAAATATATAATAATTCAAAAATTAGTAATAAAATCAATAAAAAGTCAATAGTTAAGGGTCACATTCTTCTCCTCGCGAGGACGCAATGTTCAAGAAACTTCCTCGCCTGACCGTGCGCCATTTCCTAGAAAAATTGAACAAAAATATTTTTGTAATTTTTTTTTCGCGGTCAGATGTTTTTGTGACACTTTTACGGACACAATGAATACTTTAAAACGGAAAAACAAAAAAAAGTTATTTACAGTTTTGACTAACGTTGATTCAAAGGTGGGTCGTTTTCGTCCGGAGAAGAATTCAAGTGTCTGCTGCGACGGCCGGAGGTGGAAGGGCACGGTGAAAGTCGGTAAGCGGGTCCTCGAGGAGCATAATTTTTTTTTACGGAGGCATAGTAGCACCCTCCCTTCTCGTGTTCAAAAGTTACAACTACATTTGATTTTCGCCCGGACAAAAACGACCCATGTTTGCAGACTAAGGGTTAAGGATTAACTTTTAATTGAAAGTTAACTATCACTTGAAGGTTAACCATCATCCAAAGGAAAACCCTTAAAAAGTTGGGTGTGATTTCGGACCGCCAATTGAAGGTTAACTTTCAAATGATGGTTAATCTTCAATTAGCGGTCCAAAATCACACCCAACTTTAAGGGTTTTTCTATGGTGTCTTTTTAACGGTTAACACCAAAAGTTGAGTGTATTTTTCCATAAAGGAATTCCCTTTTATAAAGCAATATTCTAGTTGATGTGATGTTACAATAAACATTTCTTGTCGTTTAAGATAAAATATTACTGAAGGATGTAAATTAATTATTTACATAATTTTCTACTACAGGTTAATTTATAATTATATGCATGTAATTATTTAATTTTTTTTCAAATATATTTTTAAGTTATAGGCACGCATTTCTAGATGTACGATTAATTTAATATTGATTGTTGCTTGTTGCAGATGACTTTAGAAACTATGATTATGGAATAGCTGAAAACTATAAGCGATACAAACAGAAAACACCCCCAAGTTATGATCTCAAAAAGATAATTGCTCCAATAATTATATTTTACTCAACAAATGATATGATTGTTACAGAAGAGGTAACAGTTACGTTAAGTTTTTTATTGTCTAATTTTTACTCACAAGTAAAAGCAAAAGAAAGAAATATTTACACAAACATGATGAAATGGTAATCACGTAAATTGTTAACAATACGAAAGAATCCGATTAAATGTAATGCAAAGTATAAAAAGAAAAACAGCTGATTTATATCAATCAGGTCGATTTTCTACTCTTCATGTATTTAAATCATCTCGTTATTAATATCGTTCTTTCATTCATTATTGGGTTTTTGATTTTCAGAATGCGTTGGAACTTGGCAAACACTTACCAAATGTTCTTCTAACTGAGAAAGTTCCATTTAAACTTTTCAATCATGCAGATTTCGTGTGGGCAATCAACGCGAAAACTCTTTTATACGATCGTGTGTTGGAACTAATACAAAAGTTTGATACTGACCAAAATAAGTCTATGAAATAAATTTAATCGATAAATGTAAATTAAATGGAGAGAAATCCTAAACTCTCCGTACATATAATTTGAAATGGTAGTAAACGTAGAATTGCTAAAAAATTGATTAAATAACTATATGCGTGCGCGCGCGCGCGCGTGTGTGTGTATTTCTTTAAATTCACATAAAATTTGTCAATATAAAATTATCAATTATTATGTTAATTAGGCTATGTTGTGATAAGATTAAAAAGAGAACACTATGAGATAAACTACCCATACAGCAAAAAATATTTTGGTAAAACTCCACAATTACGGCCTATACGAGAAATTAATTGGAAGTAAATCTTATGTATTCTTGTCCCCTGAATCCGAAACTGTTTGATAAAACTTGGGGGTCGCTTGTATTTTCTAAGATATCGTCATGAAAATGAGAAAAAATGCGGTAAATATTTAGTATTAAGGAGCCACCCCCAATTTCCATAATTTTGTAATATATTGTCAAGGACATGACCCTGAGTAACACTTTTCCTTGTAACTTAATCGGCGGTCATTGCTTATTTAAAAGTTATGAACAAAAATAGAGAAATATAAGAGTTTTGTCGGTTCTGTCAATGCTAAGGGAAGTAATTTACTGATATGTGTGTATAGACAGTGCACACTTAAGCGGGAGAGGAGCGGTAGCCCCTCCCCCGCAAGCAGAGAAGGGTGGGAGTGGACCTTGTTTCGCCTAGAAAGTTGAAAACGCGAACCGTTCAATGATAAATCTCGTTTTGCCCTATAAGCAGATATGGGGTGGGATGGAGTGAACCTCGCTTCGCGTGAATGGTTTTCTGGACAGCATTATACTTTCCACGCAAAGCGAGGTCTCCCACCAACCTCTGCTTGCGGGAGAGGGGCGGCAGCCCCTCTCCCGCCTATATGTGTAGGATAAAGTGCACATTTCGGATCAGATTTTATAAATTCAGATCAGCAAATTTGTAATGCCTCTCTAGCCGGCTGTATTTATCATATGTGGATTTTTTTCGCTATTGTCTATAGCTATCCCTTATAGACAACTAGCGAAAAAAATCCACATATGATAGGTACAGTCGGTTAGAGAGGCATTACTGCTGATCCGAATTAAGAATCTGATCCGAAATATGCACTTTACCCTACTGTCAATATCTTAGATCATAACTGGAAGAAGAATTGCTTATACCTTCCTTGAACAAGCCTGATAAAATTTGGAGCTGTTATGTGTTTGTTATGATTTTCGTATCGTGACAACACGAGATCTGTGTTTACTTGATTTTTCGTCGGACCCTAAAGTATACATCTTATCTTAGAAAATACAAGCGACCTCCAAGTTTTATCAACAATTTCGGATTCAGAGGGCAAGAATACATAAGATTTACCCCCTGCCAATTGATTTCTCGTATAGGCCCTAATTGTGGAGTTTTACCAATATTTTAAAAAAATATTTCTACATATTTCTATAAAAACATTGTAAGAAACATTTTAAAATAGTTTAAAAACCTTTTGTGATAACATTTTTAAAAATATTTTAAGAATCTTTCAAAAAAATTTTTTTAAATGTTCTTTATCACTCAGACAATATTTTCTTAAATATTTGAAATATATTTTTGAAATATTAATTCAAATCTACATATTTATTGTTTTATAATCTTGTTCCAAAATATTTAAAAAATATTTTAAATTTATTATAATTTATTATTGGTTCTATAAACTTTTTTTTAAATATTTTTGAAATATTATGAAATATTCTTAATTAAGAAAGATGCATGGTAGCGCATTTTTTTATGCTAGTTCGCAACGACGCCGCTAAGCGGCGCATAATGGCAAGACTAACTCGTAAGTAAATTTTAGTTGGAGGCTAATATGAGCAAACCTTCGGCGAAGCAAAATCATGACATTCGCAAGACATATCTTTGCCAGCAATACAATATAAGGCTCACCTTGCAACCGTATGCGTTATGTCGGCAACCGAGGGGAACGAGGACAACCACGCAACCCACGCGGGGAAGCGCGGAGGGCCTCCATCGACTAGTTCCGTCCGACGCGGTAGTAAGTAAGTTAGGGTTAAGTAGCGCGACAACGTGCACCGAGCTACGGCACACCTGGGTGTAAGAATTACTTTTGCCGAGCCATATACATTTAGTTTTTCTTGGCACTTAGGTGCCCGGCTCGGCCGTGAATTTGTTCGTTTTGATGGCGCGTGGATCGAGACATAGCGTGGACAATTCAGGCGGCGGGCCACACGCGAGCTTCATACGGAGGGCTCCCGGACGTGAAAGCGAGCCGAGATACGGAATCAGGGTGGCCGGGAGATACGATGCGAGCCCGCGGACACAAATTGCCTAACCGAGCGGCGCGCGCAGCGGAAAATCATCCATGACGCACCGCAGCGGCGCAAAATAGAGCCAGGGCCGGATAGCGTCGCGATCCGGGCACCAGGTAAGGAGATTGCGGACCAGGCGTTATCCCCAGGGAAAACCATGCGATGATTCGAGAGCATGACCTGGGACACCCGGGGAACCGATTGCCGTCGAAATCCGACCGTCCGGACGGAAGTTACGGGGACGGTCCACAAACTCGCTACCCGGATATTGGCTACAAGAACAACGCGCCGAATCTAGCGATTAAGGATTGGGGAAGCGATCACCGGAGGTTGCCTTCAACGGCAGACACCGCGAAGTATACCTGGACATCTTCTCCAGGAAGTCGGTCCGGAAACGTTTATAGAAGCGTCGGAGACGACGTGCGCGCAGGTCGGCGTCGTAGAAATCCGAAAAATAAAGGGGGTGGAAAACCACTACCCGGGCGAGAAAGTGCGTCGTCCGTAAGGCGAGGCGCGTGGAATTTTCCGTCGGGAACATCTGGCACGTTCGCAAGTGGTAAACAACTCTTGTTATTGCGTCGTGTGAAAAATTACAGAAAGAGAAAGCGGCCATGGAGCCGTGGTGGGGGTAAAACCTCGAAGGTGGGGGGCCACAGCGAGCGACGACACTCGAGGCAGTCTCTCGGGGGCGATCGCAGAGGTAACACCTATCTCGCGCGTATATCTCGGTGTGTCGTGCTAAGTCCCGCGATAATTACCGGAGTTACGAAATAAGATTACCTCGACGTCCAAAATAACCGGGAACGCCCGCATAACGCGTTAACATTCGTCATTACGAAGGCGAACGGCATTATAGTGCCAGCTTAGAATACGAAATTACGCACTTGGCGAGACGTGCGACCGCCATCTTGCGCGGGATCGATAATTGTGAACAACCATCTGTGTGAAACAAATATTCTGAATAAATGGAATAATCATTTGTGAAAATATCTACGGAATTATCGATTACTTACCTTCTACTTACCTGATCAAGCGGATGTCAGCCATCTTGGGCAGGAGTTGATCCGGGTCGGAGATTATCATCGGTGCTTCAACAGTCGATGACGCAAATGAGCCATCCGTGGCGGGAACCTGAAAATAAGCAGTATTAATTAAGTTAATTAACCACGATACTTATACTTACCTCGGTCGAGCGGTGGTCGTCTATCTTGTTCGTGTGTTGATCCTGGTCGGTGGTCAGCATCAATGATCCATGGGTCGGCGACGCAGACGAGGCATCCGTGATGGGAACCTGAAAATAAGAAGAAATAATTAAGTTAATTAACCATAGTACTGATCAGGGAGTAAGATATAAGAAGACTGATTTCCATACTTGGTACCCGCAAAAACCTGGCCTGATTTTGGGCGAAAGTTGAGTGTTAAATGTTACCACTCGCGGCGCTTGTGTTCCATCATCGGTGGGTCACGTGACGATCCGTTTCAATATTCAAGTGTCAACTTGGCGACAACAGTACGTGCCGAAACGTCACGATAAAAAAATTTTTATATAAAACAAATATCTAAATATATATAATTATATAATATTATATAAAATATTATATAAAATATGTTTATATATAAGTTTTTTTTTCTTCTGTATATAATCTCTGTTTGTATGTACGAAAAAAATAATAAGAAAAAGAATTAGAAAATAATATGATTATATATGATTATATATGAACTAGTTTTTCACATTTGCACAGACTATTTATTTTTTTTAATGCAAAAATTATCCTTTTAATTATTTTTTAATTCTTTTTCTTATTATTTGTCTTGTACACACAAACAGAGATCATACAAAAAAAAGAAAGGTAAATGTGTACAATTAGGGCCCCACCTCCGATGACCTTGACCTTGACATATGTTGTTAAGGTCACTTTCCTGAGTGACCTTCAGAAAGTTTTAGTTGGGGGTCGCTTCTTATTAAAAAGTTATAAACAAAAAAAGTTTCGAAAATATAGCCGTTATTTTAAGTACTGAGAGGCATAAACGACTAATATTACGTTTTTCTTTAAAGCAGAGAATACTTTATTTCGCGAGAAAGTCGCTGCTTTACCAAAACACAACATTTAAAGTAGTAAATTGTTGATAAATTGAAGTCTTTTTGTTAAAGCAGAGAATACTTACATGGGTTAGATGACGCGCTTTAAACAGTTGAATACTTTTAAAGCGCGTTATCTAACACATGTGGCATCTCGCATATTAACTTTCCACGCATGAAAAGTTCACGCATACACTTTCCACGCGAACCGAGGTTCACCCACACCCCTCCCCCTGCTTTCGGGGGAGGTGCGGTAGCCCCGAAATAGTTCGGGCCGGCCCGAAGCAGGGGGGGTGTGCGTGAACCTTGGTTCGCGTGAAAAGTGTATGCGTGAACTATTTCGGGGCTACCGCACCTCCCCCAAAAGCAGGGGGGGGTGCGTGAACCTCGGTTCGCGTGGAAAGTGTATGCGTGAACTATTTCGGGACTACCGCACCTCCCCCGAAAGCAGGGGGGGGGTGTGCGTGAACCTCGGTTCGCGTGAAAAGTGTATGCGTGAACTATTTCGGGACTACCGCACCTCCTCCGAAAGCAGGGGGAGGTGTGCGTAAACCTCGGTTTGCGTGAAAAGTGTATGCGCGAACTATTTCGACATATATATTAGTCATTTATGCCTTCCAATACTCAAAATAGCTGCTATATTTTCCAAACTTTTTTTGTTTATAACTTTGTAATAAGAAGCGACCCCCGACTAAAACCTTTTGAAGGTCACTCAGGAGGGTGACCTTGACAACATATGTCAAGGTCAAGGTCATCGGAAGTGAGGCCTTAATTGTAAACATTTACCATTTAAATATGTTTTTATATAAAAATTTTTTTAGTGCATCGAAACGTTTACGTTTCATTCCTCGTTCTCTGAAGAAAATGTGTCAGTTTCCGCATCTACTAAGGCATGTTTGAAACGCAAAAGATCATGTTCGAAACGCAAGTCTTTGAATGATGCAAAAAGTCGTATAAATGTCCAGAACATGTAAATAAATATTATAAATATAAATAAATATATCATAAATATATATAAATATATTATAAATATTATCACTTTTCTTATACACTAAGAAAAAAAGTTGTTGCTTCAATTAAAGTGCTATCACGGTGTCCGAAAGTAGAATTAGAATCGGGCAATAACGCAAAGAGACGTCGATGGTTTTCTTCTCGAGACATGATCGAGAGAATTTGGTGAAAGGAAAAACACCGTATTATTTGTTATTCCTCCTGTTTGTCATTGGTGAGTCGGAGGTAAAGTCGAAAAGTCACGCGGTGAAATTGACAACAACCAACGGCAATCAGGACAGCCTCCGTATAGCGGAGTGCTCCAAGCACGTGCGTTTCCATCACGTGACGCCTCATCCACCAACCCCGTCACGGAAATCGGCGTGGAGACGTGACGTAACCAGCTCCGGTCCTATATTATGCAACGCGACGCTACGCGGTGACCGCCAATTCCTTCAAGGGAAGCGAGTCCATTGGTCTGATGGATGAGACGTCACACCGTCACCGAACTTATAAATAAATGTAGCGCGGTAATGGAAGAGGACTTGTTCGCTCTCGCTCGCAATAAACACCGTCGTCTCTCTTAAAGCAAGTTGTCGCGAATCTGAAACAAAAATTGTGATCATTCGAGAACTTTCTTGTAGACTGTTTGTGAAAATAAACTCATCGTTATTAAAATCAGAACTCTGTCGAGATCCAAAACCGATCCTCCCGTTCCTGACCAACCATCGCGCGCGCTCAAACACACGGAGTGCCAAACACATCTGGATTTATTAAACCAATAATTAAATTATTTATTTTTATAATCAAATCTAATAATAATAATTAAGTTATTGGTTTAATAATCCAGATATTTGGGTCTAATAATAATACAATTGAATTAACTACTTATGTTTTTGGCACCCCGTAATAGCACATGTAATTGATTTTTTTTTCAGTGTACTTCAATGGGTGCGTTCGGTTTGGACGCTCACGTGCTGTAAGCGCTTATGAGCATTACTCACGTCGTTCGCTTTGGCGTTGTAAGCGCTTACGGATCGACTAATGACGTCATCGTTGACGTCATAACTTCTGCTGACAAACGCTTATTTCTGCAAGGTAGGGTAGTGTGAGCGTGATCAAGCGTAAGCGCTTACGTTCATTTCGGAACGCATTGTTAGCGAATTGCATATCAACAAACATGTCGTCGAATCGAATTATAGACGGAAAAATTGTAACGATATTCCAATTTCCAGCATTTAACGCGGTGGCTTTCCCTACGTTGAATTTCTCATAAATGGATCTCTACATAATTTAAATATTAAGCAAGGAAAAATTATATGCATACACAAATATAAATTAAAAATTGAATAAACGAAATATATATAGGCTCTCCTGAATAAATCAAATAAAGGGAAGTGAGAGAGGCAATCAAAGCCACGCGTGGTAATTAATGCGCAATCAAAATAAGTCAATAATAAAATATATTAGTTAATACAAATTCGGACGTTTCAACACTTTTTTGTGTCATCTTCAGCGTAAAAATGAAAATAATACATGAAAATTTCAAACGATAAATTACAGTCAATCGCGATAAAATGAGTCAATCAGTAGAAAAGCGCAGTCAAATCAATAAAATAAAAATCATACGAATGTTCGGTAGTCTGTCAGGATATGCAAATGCTCCGAATCGATCGCACCTTCGACGTTTACTCCTGGGTTGGAAGACCAGATAGAAAGGAGAGATTCGATTATTGTCCTTTCTAAACCGTGAATCAGAGTCGCAATTGCGATATTAATATGTTAAAAAACGCAATGTATCAGTATTAAAATTACAATCACAAATTCTTATTTACGGAGCATTACAGACCAGTAAGTCGCAGTGTTAAAAATGTACATACCTGTCGCTCTGACATGTCGTGAGTGAAGCGTTAGTAGAAATTGGAAGGTTAACATAATAAAAACGGTGTGTACGTGAGTTAATGGCGGGGATAAAAATTCACAACGAACAACACGAGCCAGAGACTCGAAGCGAAAAACGCGCCGAGTTCCGAACGCTCGGTTCGACACGCGCGACTTCCGGAGGCTCCCCTGGGCTCAATTTTTGACGAATCGGAACGAGTCACCGCTCATTTTCTTCGTTTTTTCAAGCCCTACAACTTTCTCCGGAGCGAAAAAGTGCTATTTATTAATTGAAACGAGATAAATGCAAAAAACCGCGAAAATTTTGGTTTTCCCTTCCCCCCTCAAAAAGCTCTGGGTTAAATAACACGACAACTCATAAATAAGCTTTATGCAACACGTGCATGGAAAGTGCCCCATTACGCACGCTACGCGTGCATGATAGACCACTTTCCAGGCACTTGCAACATAAAATAGGGAGTGTAAGCCGTGTGTAAAGATGAAAATTCCCGGATGCGGTTACCGCACTCGCTTTCGGCTCGTGCGTAAACTCCGCACCCGGGAATTTTCATCTTACCTCACTTGTTACACAAATAACTATTTCTAAACACCCGGAACACGCATAAAAAGGAATAAAAAAGTTCGTATCACTTTCGAGCAAAAGCCTTTTTTTTTTGTCTAATTTGACTGGCCTATCCAGTCAGGTTGGGAAAGCGGGACCGCGGGCGTCGTCATCATGTAACCGTAACTATTTGCACGTTTGTATAGATAACGCGAATTGCTTCTGCTTCGTTTGCAGGAAGTATGAGGTTGAAAAAAATCGAATCTATTTTTCAAACTTCACCCCCTCACCAGGCCTGTAGAATGGAATCAAGAGCCAATCTCGAGGTGGGACTGCTTTCAGGTCTTTAGATACATCGCAAGGAATAGAACCTACCATGTGGCAGTCTTCGCACTCGACATTTTATTTTTTTTGTGTGCCGGTGTTATC